AAGAATCGTACAAATGTATCAAAAAAGGCTTATATTTTTCATTAATAAGATCCATCAAAATCAAAATAAAGAGTCAAATAATTATTGCTATAAAAAATATATATATATATATATATATATATATATATATATATATATATTTAAGATTGTATTCTATCCTTTATCTTAGTTTTTTATTTTTATATATTTATGGCACTAAAGAGATGAAAAATCAATAATTACCACATTCAACTGAAGATCTATTATTTACTTAGTTACCAAATAATACATTATAATTATTATAATTTTTTGGACAATGCAATAGAGATGAAGACCACCAAGAACAATATGTTTTTTTTTAAATAAATGGTAAGATACAATGTGTTAGGTATCATAATCTCTAAAGAGACTTTCAATGTTTGATAATATTATTAAAAGTAGGAACAACATATGATGGTATTTCAAGTGTTTTATTTGAAGCAAGTTACAAAGACTACAACAATGATTAAATATCATGGTAATCTTCATGCTTTAATATGGGGTACCATTAATGATTGAGAAGACCTATCAATTATCTTCAAAATAAACAAAGATTAAAATTATTGCAAATACAATTTATTGCATCTTAGACTTCCTAAATATGTAATTATTTTTCCTCATAGAACTTATTTTTAGAAGAAAAAATAATGTAATGAATATATATTATTATCTAAATAAGAAGTATTAATTATAAGATAAATAAAGATAGATTTGATAATATCTTATGAAGAAACTTTTTAAAAGATCTATAGACATAAATTTGATTTTAAATGTATTTGTAGTTGATTAATAGATTAAAAACTTAGCCAACAAGTTGGATACATATTGCACATGTTAGCAACTTATAATATAAGTTGGCCAAGTAGCCCACATATAGGAAACTTGTCTTGCAAGTTAGACATGTGTTTTGCAAATTGGACATATGCCAAAGATTCTATAGAACATCATCACATATCTTTTAATTAAATAGTATGTATAGAGGCAAGAGTGAAGCCTTCTTCACTCTTATCGATGCTTTTTTTATTGCTAGTCTTGTTTTAAGAACCTTTAATATTCTTATCGTTGGAAATATCCATTCTAATTTTAATATTATATTGTCTTTAAGTAAATATCTATTTTTTTTAAGTAATAGAAGAATGTGTTGAGAGTTTTATTGTTTGTGATTTATATCTTTGATAATTAATTAATAATTAATAATTTTTATTTATTTATTTAAGATAATTATTTATACAATAAAAATATAGATATTTACATTTTTTGTTCGTAAAATAATATTTTCTCATTAAGATTTTATATCCTATGAGAAAGCATTGTGAAAGCAAAGTATAACTTAGATACTTAAACCACAAGCCTTCTATTCTTTAAAAAGCTTATATATAATTTTCTTAGTATGTACTATATAGAGACAAACTAAGATCACCCTTAAACTTATCAATACATTTTTTGTAATTAAGTCTTAGTTTTAAGATTCTAGATATTTTTATATTTAAAAAATATCCATTTTAATTATTTCTATCTAATGTCTATATTATTATTATTAATGTTATTTTTTAATGATGCATGAATATATTATTTTTCAAAATATTATCTGAATTTATATTCTTAAAAATATGTCTATTTTTTATATATTAATTATATTTAATATTATAATATATCAAAATTAATATTTTAATTAAATACTAATTTACATTTTTGATTTCTAATAATCTTTTTAACAACTTAATTAAAAGTTAACAAATTTCACTTTACTCAAACCAATCCAAGCTGATATTTTATTTCCTAGTATGAATGATAATTTTTTTTCCCTAATATATTAAAATTTTGGCTCAATTTATATCTAAATCTTAAGCTAGTTTGAATTCATGCAAATTTCTAATTTTTTTCTTGATTGTTTCTTGTTCACCATAGATAATAAGTTTAAAACTCTTTATGTATTAATTTACTATTTAATAGTTTTTTTTCTTGAAAAAATATTTTTTTCTAAAAATATTTATTTTCTAAAAATATTTATTTTCTAAAAATATTTATTTTCTAAAAATATTTATTTTCTAAAAATATTTATTTTCTAAACTTACTCCAAGATAGGAATTAAAATCTTTAGATTTGATGAATAATAAATAAGATGCTAAAAAGAGATTATATTTTATATATTTTATGTCATTAATTTATATATTTTTAAAAAAAATTAGTATATAATAATAAATAAAATATTTTATTTAAGTTTTCCAAAAAAATATTTGTTTGTACTTATTTTTATATTATCTTTTAATTTTGTGATACTTTTAAGTAATTTTTTTTTGCAAAAGAAATTTACACTCAATTTATTACTTATAAAATTATTTAAATGTATGTTTGTATACATATATATAAAAATCTAACCTTAAAATATTTTTATTCCTTCTTGCATGTTATTCTAGAAAGATTAATTTTATTTTTAAAAAAATAGTCATCTATTTTTCATCTAAATTTAAATAAATTCTTAATGTCCATTTTAATTTTTTTATAAAACTTTCTATCAGAAGAAGATTTTTCTATAATTATACATATATATATATATATATATATATACCCCGGTTGACTCCAAAGATCCAAAGAATTCTATCTAATAGAAGATTTATCAAAGTAGACTAATGCTAAATGAATTCACAATAATTATAAGACACACAAATTGTGGCTACTTCAAATATATTGGATGGAATGCTTTTGAGTATAAACTACTAGATATATTTTTTCATCAATAAAATAATACTATTAGTTACTTGTTTAATATCAAAGAATATAAATAAATACATTCTAAGAGCTTTAGTCTTATTAGAATCATTGACATATCCTAGCTCAGCTTCTAAAACACTAAATCATATTTTATCTATAAGGTCTTATTTAATCTATGGTCCTTCTTTTATATAAGTTATATTTATATAAAATTAAAATATTAAATTTAGATTTTAATATTCTTATTTAGATACTTAGTTTTAGGATATTTTTGGACTATTTGACCTCTTAGTATTATATCATGATATTTGCAATGTTGTTTAAATAAAATTATAAGAAAGTAAATTAAATAAAAAATACACACAATTGTAAAAGAAATAAAATTTGACATCTAAAAGAATAAGTTCATTATATTATATATTAGAAAGTCCAATTTTTTCTCATTTTTTTAAATAAAGGATAATAGATAGATTAATTTCTTCATCTATTTTTTATTAATTGTTCTATGAGCTTTATTGAGTGCTTGATGAGTTTAAGTTCAAAAGTATGATTGATTTTCTTCAAGTGTCTAACATAAATTTTTTGTAGCTTAAAAGAATTTATTCATTATAAGACTTCTTGACATTTGTTTAGGATGGTATATTATTTCAAATTGTATTTTATTTTTTTCTTATTCTTATCAATATAGTTGATTTGATGCATCTTTGTTTTGTTGTTGTTGAGACAAGAATTGGCTTTTTTTGGCTTATAAATTTACACAAAATCAAAGAATTATATTATTTTTGAAGCTCTATTTCAATAAATTAAGTTTCTTTTTAAATTATTTTGCATTTTTGCATATATAAATCATTTAGTCATTTCTATCTTTTCAATCAAGTATTGTTAACATTGCTAAGTTGTTTCTCAATTGTTGTTGGTTGTTATTAAGGTTTTTGCAAACCAAAAGTGTTAAATTTGCTTAGACAAGTTGTTAGATGCATAAATAGCTTTAGAATGGTAATTACGTTCATATTGTCTACATCAATATGCCTCATTGACAACTTATTAGTGTTATTGTATTTATCACATGGACTTATTAAGATATGGGGCATCCATGTTCTAACACTATTTAAATCTTTTATATTTTAGTATTCTATTTAATAGAATATTCAACAATTTTGTTTAATTGTTGTCTTTGTTTCCTTATTTATAATTAGATATTCACATTAATTACTATTGGATGTAATATTATGACTTTTCTACTTATTTATTGTTTTGTTATTTAATTTGTAATAGATGATAAAAAAAAATTACCTTTTTTTTTCATATATTGCAACATTTTTCGTGGCAATGCAAGATTATTTGTTGTAAATGTATTCAAAACATAGCATTGCACAAATTTGTGACATTGTATTGATGCCCTAATTCTAAGTTTTTGCTTGATGGTTTTTGGTATCAATACATGCCAAATTTGTATTTGTATTTGGCAAGCTCATTTTACTTGACCCAACTTATTAAGGAGCCTTGGCCAAATTTATCTAAGCTTGAAGCAACTCCGGATAAAACTTATATTGTATAATTAGTAGCACTAATACAATGTTGTCAATGGCACACTAAATGAATATGTTTTGGTTTGTTTTGACTTTAGCCAAGAGTGTCTATTCAATATTCTTTTCTAAAAATCCATTGCATTTTATGGTTGTTGCTCAAGTTTGCTTGTTCCATCTTTTCTAATGTCAACAAAGAACCATGCCAAACCACTCTTGGTTCAATGTTAATGTTTCAATGGTCACTATCTCCACCTGCGACTTGTTCGCTCCATCGCTTGGTTCTGATTAGACCATCTTAGCCTAGCAGGGTATGATTTGGGTAGGTGATGTGACCACTGATGATAAGTTAGCCTTGCTGTAGCCTCTATTTTTCTTACATGAGCCAATGACCAACTGTCTTCAGCTGCAGTTTTTGAAATATATAAAGCTAATTCTAATTGTTATAGAAAGGAAAACAATGCACCAAGACTGAGTAACCTTGATGTTACTTATCTTAAACTTGCAGCACCAACCTTCATAAATCATTACTGTCATCTAGTTGTAAAGAGCTGGACCATGAGGTAAATACAAAATTTCTAGATGATATTAGTACTGTACAGTATATAACAAGAAAATAAATAAATAAATAAATAAATAAAAGGTGTCTGAATCACTTAATGTGTTGTTGAACATTTAATAAATGACAAAAATAATAACAATAATAATAAAAGAACAGTGAAAAACAACACAACAAAAGGCATCTTTGAACTTTGAAAATTGGGTCTAGTCATTATTCCAATCATTATCAGGAGTTAGACAACCTATGGTCCACATGATTCGAAAGCGCGAGAGCGGTGAACTCTTTATACCTGGGAAAACCTGTTTGCACTGGCACTGCCATAAGCAAAGATGAACACACGAACGATTACTCAGTTGCTCTTATCAAGATGTGTTCAGGTGTGAATGTGTTTCTCCATTTATTTCGGCAGGAAGCCAAACAAAATTACGAATCTATTATCTATTCCTGGAAACGGCTTGCAACTGCGTCAAAACGAGGAACTCGCACAACATCTCCCCAAGACGCCATTGTAAGTGGGGTGCTTATGATCTTGCTCGAAACGTCAGCAATGTCTTGCAAAGTCAAGGCCTGGACACTCTGGATAAACTCGGCCACGGGCTTGCGATGTCCATATGTCAAAATTTGACGGCCAATATCTTCCGTCACGACAACGCGTGACTCCAAGTTCATCAAAACTGCAGAAATAGTACTATTCTTGGCACGCTGCAATTCAGCTTCGGTCACTTTTCCTGGAGTTGCAACAAGTTCGAGCTGTTCACAAGCAAGGTCCACCAGTTTTGGAACGAAATCGCCAGTAGAAGTGGCGTGGATTCCAAAGAGACCAGTGTCGTTGTAGACGCTGTTGAACGCTGTGAACGATTGCACCTGCTCCCACTTATTCAGGATCTGCAAATAAAACAGATAAATCAAAATAAAGTAAGAAATCAAATACGATGTTCAGGTCAAAAATCTCATTGGCAAGTTTACTCATCAGAAAATGCTCCTGCCTCTACAAATCGTGAACAGCCTGCTACATAATCAATGAACCAGCTTCTGTTGCCAATGCGCCGGTCTTACCCCTGTATACAATCGAGAGTACATTCCCTTTCCAGGACCACCAGCAGAAAAAGACCCCCCTCCTCCAAGGAGTGTTTGCAAGACAGTCACAGCATAGGAATCCTTCTCGTTTCTCCAACCCCCAGGAACTTCAAATGCAATTGCAACATGTGTTTTGGGAGAGTCCACAGATTGCCGCCAGTCACCACCAACGTAATGAGTCTCCACAGGAATAGACTGGTCGGAAGAAGGTAGATCAGCGAGCAATGGTTCTGCCACGGAAAGCAGATCTTCGTGATCCACACCGGAAGCTGTGACATTTTCAAAAAACATGTTCACAATCAGGAAAAGATTACCGGTACTGCACGTCCCCACTTCAACTCCCGCTCATGAAATTACGATGTTCTCATATTGTACACAAATTCCATTTCCTTCGTTGCCCCAAAACATGCTCACAAAACACCGCCCAACCCCTACTCATGATGCTCAAATCACCAATCATCACCAACATTGAAAAGCCCACATGGAACTTCAGTCCGACAATACGTTCTCTACACCAACCAAAATTCTATACCAATTACTTCATTCCCATTCCCAGGATCAGCACATGCTGCGGCACATAAACGACACCACTCGTCCTCAACTCCACTGCTGACATTAACTGATGCAACAGTTTCCATGAAACCCCTCTTCACACTCTTACGAGGCAATGCGCCTTCTGTACAGAAGCTAATTCTTGAAGCATTGTATATCCAGTTTCACGAATGTGTACTTCCCTTCAATGATCCCCCCATCAAAATAGCCACACAGAAAATGTAATACAAACCTGAACCCACAAAGTGGGAAATTTCCATGCAACATCTGAATTTTGTGTGTGTGTCTGAGTGCGAGAGAGAGAGAGAGAGAGAGAGAGAGAACGATAGAGAGAACACTGTACAACATACCTCAGAAATCAATTTCACCAGAATCTGGCGTATTCGAAACATAACACAGCTGCAGCCTTCACAACATACAAAAATCTCAACATTTGCTCACTCCCAACAGCTAGATCCAAAGGTAACAAATGGACACTGACTAAATCCAAATTGGCAATCCACGTACCTGCCAAGACAATCCTAGGCGCAGTATAATTCTCTTTCACAAAATCGTGAAGAACTCCACCGTTCAACCGCCCCAGAGAGGATTCAGGTGCCATGAGGGGTTGACCTAAACCCCCAACGTATCCAGCTGAGTGAATAGCCTCATAAATCGCCACCTGTGGATTATTCGCCAACTCTGCAATCTCAGCCTTCGCCTTAGCCAGCTGCTCTTGAACTTCCCATTCGTTGAACAAAGGGTTCCTCACAGTGTCTACCAGAAGTTCAACCATCTCCGGCATAAACGTTTTGATCGTGTCTCCGGTGTAACACATCTGCTCCCGGGAGGCATTAGCCATCACGTTTCCACCAATGGCTTCCACCTCACGCACGAGGCGAAAGTGCGAGCGGTTGGCGGTACTCTTGAAAGCCATACGCTCCAACAGATGCGATGCGCCTGTGCAGTAAGGGGTCTCATTCTTCGAGCCGGAGTCAATAAAGATCCCGATGGTGGAAGTAGGCCCGGCAATCATCTCCGACGCGATCTTCACACCGTTGGCTAGGGTTGTGACCTTGGTCTCATTAGGCTTAACATCGTCGGGCAAGGCAGGTGGCATGTGCACTCCTTGCAGCGGCTCGAACAGTGCAGGCACGGGAGCGGTAGCGCGCTCGCCGAGGAGCCATGACAACACTCCTCCGGAGCTGGATGCTTGCGTCGACTCTGTCCTCGGCACAGCTTGATTCGCCGCATTGGTGCGAAGCAGGCGCTGGGTCTGCTGCTGCGCAAGCAGCTTGACGAGACGCGCCTTCCGCACTGCCGCACCCCTCATCGCTGCGCGCCCTCCCTCTGCAACCCAATCGGGCCCTGCAAACAACAATCGGTGCCGGATGCCGAAAGACCTAAAAACTGGAAATGCTTGAGGAGCCCAGCGAGCTCTCTCTCAAACCCAAGACTCCGATTGCAGCCGCTTCGCTATCGCCTTCGGTTTCGTTCGTCGATTCCGTTCGTCGATCCAGTTCGTCGACTTTGATCGTCGGGCATCTCTTGACGACCTGGAGGTTACCAACTGAACAACACTTGTGAGAAAGGACGTGAGCCGTAGATTCATCCACATCAACGGTTCTTCTGAGCGTCAAATTTGGTTCTGGGACGTGAGGAAATTTAAAGCAATAATATATTGCTAGTTTTGAGTGAGAAATTTGGTGATATGCTCCTTGTCAAATTGTCATATTTTCAAATCAGTAAAAAAAAAAACTTAAAATTAAAATTAAAATGAAATACAAGTACATGTTCAAATTAGGGGAATGTTAAACAGATCCTAGATTTTACTAAATTGACCCACTTATCATAAAATGAATAAAATAAAATAAAATAAAATGCTTTCTAGATTCATTTCTCCAATACAGGATCCAAAACTAATGAAAACCAACCACATTCATCATGATTACCAAATTTTTCATCTTGGGTAGGTCAATTTAATAAAAACTTATGTCTATTTAACATTCTCCTTAATTTATTTTTTATAAGTAAATTTTTATATTTTATTAATAAATTAATATAAATTAATATTCAAGTATTCAAATTTATTTGTAGTACTAATCTTTTAAATATATTTTTATTTGAATATTAACATATGAGTTTTGAAATTTTTGAAAAATAGTCCTCTTTTTATATTTAAGATTGTCATGTTGTACACATGTTTTAAATGATGATGTTAAGTGTTCTCTAAAATGACCATGTTTATTGAGTAGTTTTGAGTCACTCAGAAATGTTTCTAATTGAGATATTTTTTAAGAATTTTATATTTTACTTCATAGTATTGACATTTCCATTTTTTCTTTTTCTTTATTAGATGCTCTAAATCATATGTATAAGTTTCAAAAAAATCATTATAAGGATTTTTTTTGTTTTTCACTAAATGAAGAGATTGCAATCACATGATCATTGTGTTTATGAAATACACACATATGAAAATAAAAACTTATAAATTCTAAATAATTTAATGTAAATTATAAAAAATAATATTTTAAAATTATTATTATTTGATATTATCAAATTAAACTAATAAAATATCCAATAATAAAATGAGATTATTGATGATTTTTTCTTACATTTTACAATTTTACATAATAGAAAATGTATGATTTTTTTTAGTGCAAGAGATGAATTTACTCTTTTAATAATACAATTTTTTTGTAAAATGAATAAATTTTTATATTTAATTTAAGAAGCGAAACTTTATTTCTATTTTTAATTTGTATGAAGTTCATTTATTGATATTTGATATTATTACTATTTTCTAATCAAAGTTTAATATTATTTTATAACTATACTAATAATTTTATTATATATTTTGAGGGCATGGACATTTCAACACCCTCCTTAGATATTTTGGTACCCCCTTCCAAACTCTTTGGATTGTTGCCATTTAGAATACTTAAAAGTTCCAAGGTTGAGCCTCTACAACCCTCATTGAGTGGTACCTTGAGAGATATCAAAATACACAAAGAGGGGTACCAAAATATTTGTATTCTATTTTTATTGTTGGATTATTTTATTAGAAATTTTAAAATATTACCAAAATTAATAGATAACCTAGTTGGATTAGAAAGGCTATTTTAGATAAAGGCATAAAAATATTATAAACATGATATTCAATTAAAGATAAACATAATTTCAAATCATCATCTTAATATCAAATTTTAAATACTTCTTAAGTCGTTTGATTAGTTAGTTTAATTTAACTATCAAGTTTTAATAAAATACACACCATTTGTTGAAAACCAAATTAATGATAAAAAAATATCTATAAAAAGTGCTTTTATTATGGACTATTATCTTATAATGAGTAAAAGCACATTCTATCTTTTTTGCTAAACTTTCATTACAAACATGATGTTCAAATGATTTTACAACAAAAACATTTAAAAGTTGATTAATTTCAAAAAATAGTCCATAATTATTTCAAGTAGATAGAAGTTACAATAATTTAGAAATATATTATTGATGATTATTTTATATATGACATATATACACAACACCACAAATTTTTATTTAAAGCTACAAATTTTTTTAATAAATAATTTTCAACATCTTAATAGATCCAAAGCATTCTAATTTTACAAAAAAATCATTTTATATTTGCATTACAAAAAGTCACGTTGCTTCTTGAAAATTCCCTAATATTCTTTAATTTTTCTTTAATTTTTTTATTTTTATTTTTAAGAGTTAAAGAAATAGTCAAAATTCACTAATTCTAGTAATATCGTACTTATATTTAAAATTTCATTTTTTTACTTTTTACTTTTTTCTCACATGTGTGATTATAGTGTGTATACTCAACATGCTTGATAGTGTGTACATCAACTCTGCTTGCCTAAACACAAAAGTGTATTTAAACAAGCTTTTAAAGAGATTAAGACATAAATTGACTTAATTTATCCGAGATCATGAGAATGGTACAACATTTGAAGACACCTCCCCAAGACGCCTCTCTAAATTTGGTGCTTATGATCTTCAAAACGTCAGCAATGTCTTGCAAGGTCAAGGCCGTAAAAACCAAAGAGACCAGTGTCGTCGTGCATGTAGTTGAACGCTGCGAGCGAATAAACATGCTCGCATCTGTTACAGACATGCAAAAAAAATTAATCATAATAACAAAAATAAAATCATATACGGTGTTCAGATTAAAACCTCGTTGGCAAGTTTACTTATCAGAAAGTGCTCCTGCGTCTACAAATCGTGAACAGTCTGCTGCATTATCAATGAACCAGCTTCTGTTGCCAATGCACCGGTCTTACCTCTGTAAACTACCCAGAGCACATTCCCTCTCTAACACCATCAACAGAAACGAGTCCTCTAAGGAAGTGTTGCAAGACTGTCACAGCATGGGAATCCTTCTCGTTTCTCCAACCCCCAGGAACTTCAAATGCAATTGCAACATGTGTTCTGGGAGAGCACATATTTCTTTCAGTAACCAGCTCCATAACGAGACCACAGGAATAGACTAGTCCGAAGATCGTGATCCACCCCGGAAGCTGTGACATTTTCAAAAACATGTTCACAATCAGGAAAAGATTACCGGTACTGCACGTTCGCACTGCCGCACCCCTCATCGCTGCGCAGCGCTCCTTCTGCAACCAATCGGGCCCTGCAAACAACGGTGCCGGATGCCGAAAACCTGGAATTGGAATGCCTGAGGAGCCCGGCGAGCTCTCTCAAATTCGGAATCACACGGATTGCAGCCGCTTCGCAACTACGCATTCTGGCTTCACCAGTATACCATATATTTTTCTGATTTATTTGGCACGATTTGCTGCCGTGCCATCTGGAGATATTACATAACTTTTAGACATTGAAGAATCCGATTCAGTGTTACTCTTGATATGCAGATTGGTGCTTATCTGCATTGAGTCAAGCACCACTTAAATCTAAGCTAGTTACTGCGTCTACGAAAACTCGTGATCAAGCCACTGAAGAATTAGTAGACCGGGTTGATTGGCTTGCTAAAGACAAACTGATACAGGACAACACCCCCCGAGTTGGATCGAGGGGTTGCCAGCAGTAAACAATGAAGCCCCATTCGTGAAACATCGGTGTTCAGTCAACAAACATCTCTGTGCTGCCGAGAAATCCAGGTTATTGTGTGCAGCAGCTCTGAGAACAGAATGGTTGCAACGTGCATTGGACTAACTTTGGACGCAAAAAGAAGGGTAGAGGCGGTAATAGGCAGAAGCCCACCAGTATTTATAAGGCCAATAATGAGGGCTAAAAGTCATCGTCTTGCTCGAAAGGCGGAACAAACTCAGAGAGAACAAGAAAGATTAATGACTACTGTAGGGTAGTTTTTGCCATAAAAGCAGAGAAAACTCCACTAAAAATCATGAACATATACTATCCAACTTAAGTCCACACATGATAAGAGTTGTGTCGTTTTGGGGTGTTGCCAAGAAGATGGCCTTCGAAACAGAATAACATGATTGCCTAGCGCAGCTTCGTTACAACAGCATTCTCATCTCCGTGAAACTGTGCCAAGTTTTACTTACCGAGACAGAATTAGTCAATCCGGACAACTTGGCAATATCAACACCCTAGATTCTAACTAGCTTCCCGATCCAAAGTGGGTCAAGTTCATGCAGATCGTTTCTCACCAAATAGTTGGCCAACCAAAAAGCAGAGATACCAGAATCGGGGTGCAATGCATTTATTATTTATGCCCGTCGTGCAGCACATTTCTAGCCCCAGGGTGCTCACTCTGACCCTAATCGGGCTCAGAATTAGCTAATTACAAGCTCGATTCCCTCGAATTAATAAAGATCGGCGGTGAATTTACAAGTCTGTAGTTACCTTCTTACATGCACTGCGTACGTACACCTAATGCTTCTGCTCTTTGGAGCCGATTTTGAGGTCACCCTCAGTAGCCGCCCTGTCGCCCAACAGCTTCTTCGCAATCTTGTACCACTCCGTGTGGAAGGAGTCTTTCATGTCAACACGCTCGTAAGTATGGGAACCAAAGTAATCGCGCTGAGCTTGGACAAGATTTGCTGGAAGCCGAGCTCGCCTGTACGTATCAAAGTAACCGAGACTGGCGCTCATACCTGGGGTGCTCACCCCAACTTCGATTGCCAAAGACACAACCTTCCTCCATGCACCTTGTCTCTCTACCATCTCCTTCGCAAATTCAGGGTCTATCAACAAGCTTGCCAATTTTGGGTCCCTGTCGTAAGCTTGCTTAATGCGGTCCAAAAACTTGGCTCGAATAATGCACCCACCTTTCCAAATACGAGCGAGTTCTCCGAGGTCCAAATTCCAACCCTTCTCAATGCTCTTTGCACGAATGAGGTTCATGCCTTGCGCGTAACTGCAAATCTTCGAGGCATACAGGGCTTTTCGGACGTTGTCGATGAGCTCCTGTTTGTCAACTTTAACCTCTGCTAATAAATCACTGACTCCCAAACTTTTGAATACTTTGGCGGCTTCCACGCGTTCCTCTTTCAAACCTGAACATAAATGACCGTGCCAGATGTCAATACCAGCAACGTTGAAGAGGTGATGCCGATTGGAAGCCGATCAGTTTGTACCAAGTACATTCAACAAGGCTGGGCCCCTTAGCAAACCGGACGCAAATGAGAGGAGACGCTACTGTCAAGGAAAACGTGTACATCTCTAACCTGAAAGGTATCGCAAGTCTAGGGATGTCGCAATAGTAGGAGCGGCCACAGATAATTCGGCAGCTTGCTGCACGGTCCACTTGCCAGTACCCTTCATGCCCGTCTTGTCCAGCACTTTATCGACGAGTTCTCCTTCACCCTTGTCATCCGGGACAGAGAAAATATCAGCAGTGATTTCGATTAGAAAGCTTTCAAGTTCGCCCTTGTTCCACTCGTAGAAGGTTTCGTGCAGCTCCTTGTTCGATAAACCACCCACGGATTTGAGCACATCGTACGCCTCGGCGATGAGCTCCATGTCACCGTACTCAATTCCATTATGCACCATTTTGACGAAGTTGCCAGCGCCTCCGGGGCCAACGTAGGTCACACATGGACCACTGTCGACTTGCGCAGCCACTTTCTGCACAATGTCTTCAATGTACTTGTACGCTTCTAGAGTTCCTCCGGGCATGAGCGAAGGTCCATGTCGAGCACCCTCCTCGCCTCCACTGACTCCCATCCCCAGGTACAACAAACCCTTCTCCTTCACCTTCTCCGCCCTCCTCTCCGTATTCTCGTACCACTCATTCCCTCCATCAATGATACAGTCCCCCTTCTCGAGGTACTTCGACAAGAGCTCGATGGTCTGATCAACCGGCGACCCTGCCTTCACCAAGATGATGATACATCGCGGCTTCTGAATCGACTTCACAAACTCGCAGGGATCTTTGAACCCCTTCACGGGCAAATTCCCCTCCTCCTTCGCGCGCTCTACGGTCTCATCCACCTTGCTCGCTGATCGATTGTAGACCGAAATCGGGAAACCCTTCTCCGCAATGTTGAGAGCCAAGTTCTGACCCATCACTGCCAACCCCGCCAACCCAATTCTCGAAAGGCCATCGGACGCCATCTCTCCCCCACCCGGCACCCGATTCCCTTCCAAGACGGATACCCAATTCACAACGCAGTGTTGCGCTCGCTCTTCACCAGACCCTATCGAAGCCAGACACCGACCGATCTCTAACAAACTGATCGTCTCACCAATGCTTTCTATTCATACATCGATGCCATAGCCGAGACCCACGAAAGCTCAGGAGCTCTCTCTCTCGCTTGAACGCAAGAGCAAAGGAACTTTCCTGAACAACTACATTCATCCAAATCCATCTCAATATTCATTCGTTCATTCCTGGCTCGGGATACCCCTGTTGCATGGCCCCCAGTGGCCAAGCAGCATTGAGGTTCAAGGCCCAAGTAATAATATCTATAAACATGGAATCTGCGCATGAAACGTGATTTATCATCCATCGCCATCCACTTTGAGTTTGTCATGTGTCTCACTGGAACGGTTTTGGGAGCCCTAACATGACGTCCTGACAAATGCTCTCTACCTGGGTGGACAGAGCCCTAAAACCACGGAATGAATTCCACGAGCAGCTGCGTACATGGTGTTGTTAGGGCTCCACTACTACATCCGCGTTCCCGGTGGGGAACGCCCTCCGTTCCCATTCGGAATTCATCCGTTCTTTTAAGTTCCTTTGCTTCGTTTTCATTCATCTAATATTAGTTTCTATGTAGGTCTTCCCTAAGCATTGACCCTCAGTCGAAATCAGTGATTGTTCCCGCCATCCTACGTGGCACCACGTAGGATCCTTCAAGGGTATGTTTACAATATGACAATTTAAAACTGGTAGTTTCAACGATCAATTTAAATGCAAATTGTTTCACATGAAATGTGCTTCAAAAACATAGCTTTTTGAGTTTTAGATGATTTTTTTGTGAATGTACTATAATAGTAGTAGTTCATGAACAATTTTGGAATCAATATGTTTGTTTATCAACACCTCAATTTTTTAATATGAAGATATAAAAGTATGTCACACACTTTGTTTTATGTACACTATTTACAAAGCTCTACACTCATAGTTAAAGTTATTAGTGACTCGGAATATGATTTGTTGATACAAGTTTTCCTTTTTGGAACAAATCTTTCAACGAAGCTTGCCATCTAAATTTATTAGTGTAATGCATATAGTATGATTTATTGCTTAGGTCCATTTTAAAACTTTTTAACATTCAAAAAAGAAATAAACAAGAATGCAACAGAAATTAAGAATGAAATAAATAAATAAGTAAAATCACAACATAAATTTTATTGGAGACATTCTATTGATAATATTTAATACATGTTCCATAGCTTGCACATGATTCTTTTGTCGTCTGCAATTGTATTTTGTCTTGGAAATTATATAAAGACTCGAAAACTTGACTTTGGATAAACTCGGAATTATAAAACTTTTTACAATCATAATCAACAAATAATGAGAATCTGCTCTAAGGTCGTTATTTTCAAAGAGTAAAGTTTTCCTATTTGATTGCTAACACATTTGATGTTTTTCCACTGTAATCACATGATCTTCATCTAAAATCTTGAGAAAATTTAAGCCATGGATCTCAAGGTTGCACAAATGTGCAAAAGTTGAACCATTCATTGAATAAAAAAATAAAAAAATAAAAAAAATCTATTTGTTAGTTATAAATTATCAAAAAAATAAATCATATTAGATAGGTAATGTAGACTAAAAATTGATTTTTTTTTTGATACCCTTCTGATTGGATTAAATACATTTGTTTAATAATAATTTTGTATTTTTTGGCCAATTTGGTACTATATGCATTTAAAGAATACAGTAAATAGTGGTTGATGATGAAGAAAGAACATTCGAGTTATCCGGTGCCGCCGTCATGGGGCCTGAAGTGGCTCCGTGTCTCAAGCCCTAATCGACAATATTTGCGATGAGGACGAAGACGACGAGGAGGAGGAAGGGGAGGATCGATCCAGCGGCATTTCGTGAACCCACTTCCCTCCACCAACACCGACTCTATCGACATCAGAATTTGGGTCGCTCGCAGCTCAAATCGCGAGCTTCTGCAAAAAAACTCGAGGTTTGGACATCTGTTGGCTGAATTGTGTGCTAGGGTGCATTGAAGATGGCAGGGAGTGCTGATCACGGATTCGCTTGGGTGCTTTTGTGGAAATTGCGAATTCCGGATTCGAGGTTTGGGGTTAATGAGATTGAGCTTGTGAGGGTTGAGGAGCTGTTCCTGTGTGCTTACGAGGTTTTTGGGTTCTGTGACGTGTAGTTGGTCGTGGAATTGAAGGAATAGTGGAGTTGAAAAGCGAGAAGTCATGGCGCTGCTTGATAGCGATGTGCTGCGCTGGCTGTGTCAAACTCCGAAGAAGAATCTGGATTCGTTAATGAGGGTGTCGCAAAGGTTGCCCCGAGCAGGACCTGCGAGGGTGAGTATGGGAATGGGTTTGAAACACCCGCATTCTCCGAACGATCCTTTTCTGGCCAAGCTCGCTGCGGCTGCATCCACTGAAATGGGGAAAGCTCAATTGGCTGGCGCGAGCGGTGTTTCTGATGGCCCCCCGTTGTTGGATATTTTGTCGAACCCGGTGATGATGGCAGCTCCAGCTCAGGTTTGTCAGGTCACCTATCGCTTGTTGTTCGTGTTCGAACAGGGCAGTTGACGCACTGGTGCAAGCGGAGTATCTTATCTGAGGAAACATCTTGGGTTTGAACAGGTGGAGAGGTCATCTGGCTACAACGAGCACAGGCCCCGTCGGCCACCTCCTGACCTTCCTTCATTGCTCTTGAATAGCAGAATTGTGTACATTGGAATGCCTGTAAGTTTCTCATTGTCTCGAATTATGCTGAATTTGGGAATTGGCAACATTTTGGATTCGTACTCGCTACTTCGAGATTATGGATTTTGTAGTGCAGCAAACTCTTCATCAGAGCGCATGCAGTTTTCTTGCTAAACATTGTATTGTGGAAGTTTTTGCTTTCCGTTCAAGGGATTTTTCGGTAGAAATTCTTCGAGATGTGTAGTCGTTGCTCTCAGTTGTTCTTTGTATTTCTCTGGTCTGATGTGGGTTGTGTTTGGAACAGCTTGTTCCCGCGGTTACCGAGCTAGTGATTGCCGAGTTACTTTACTTGCAGTATGCGGACCCTCGGCAGCCTATCTATGTGTATATTAATTCTACTGGAACCGCTCGTGCCGACGGTGAAACGGTATGCTATCTGCTTTATGACAAATAAATGAATTGCGAGGCGTAGCTTAGATACTCATAGGATCTTCATTGTAGCCATTCCTAACAGAAATTTCTTTAACTTTAGTTTGACTGCCGTAATAGTGCAATTTGAATAACTCAACTAAATTTTGCATATCAGTTCTACACGTCTTAGGTTGTTCTCGTCCTCTGTGCTGACTTCGTTGAATATCTATATTGTCCTCAGGTTGGCTTGGAGACAGAAGGATTCGCAATTTATGACACTCTGATGAATGTTAGAAATCAGGTATATATAATTGTTGTGTGTTATTGGCTTTTGAGTTGAGGCTCTAAGTTGTATTTCAGAACGTGCGGCCCTTTGGCCATCTAGAGTGACAGACTCAAAAGTTCACATTATTGCAGATTCAAACCGTAGCAGTAGGTGCCGCTATTGGACAAGCTTGTTTGCTTTTAGCATCAGGAGACAAGGGCATGCGCTACATGATGCCTCACGCTACAGGTACATCAAATATCTGTTGAAGCTCTGTGTGATGCACCTTTTTGAGCCTATGTCTCGTTTGGAACATAACCCTGACGCTCGGGACTTCTACCACTCTTCTTTGGCTCTTCAATGTGCAGTGTCCAGATACTCCTTCGTGGTTACATCTCATCTTTTGAATTTAGGTTACATATCTCGATGCACAGTACAGATGACATGTCACTGAAGTTTCAACTTTTTGTATTGTTTAAAACTGTGCGTAGCCATGATTCAGCAACCTAGATTACCGTCCACAGGCCAGATGTCTGCGATTGACGTTCATATTAGAGCGAAGGAGGTGCCTCTTCTTTACTATCTTGTCGTTGACTATGTTCTCTTGTTCCCAGCCTGGAAACTGTCTACCCCTCTTTCTGTTCATGCTTCGCTTGTTCGCCTTAAATTATCGAGCAAGCAACAGTTTTTGATATACTCCTTGCATACGTTGGAAGTTGTGTTTCTTGGTATATGTATGATTCCAAGAGATTGGCAGTCTTGTTGCTTTCATAATCAAAGGTCTAATAATTGCAGTCGCTATCAGTAAAGGCTTGTCACTGACGAACAGAAGATTCTAGCAATCCCTTGGTCTGATTCCCGAACTGTGTTCCTTGGTGTGCAGTTGATCAATAATAGGGATACACTTGTTGGGTTACTTGCAAAGCATACTGGCAATGTATAAACTCTCACCTTCGCCCATTCACATGCACAACCAGCGGAATGTGCTTTGTTGCAGGAGTTAGATTGGTGCTTTGGTGCTGGTAACTTGCTTCAAATGTTCGGTACAATGGTTGGTGTACTTTGGACACAAAACATTTGTGATGGACCTTTGTTTTGATGCTAGATATATGATTACCAAAACAATATCTGGGTGTTGCTTTTTCTAATGCAATCTAACCGATTGAGACCCCGAGAATGGTCCTTATACGGGAAGTCTGCAGTTTCATCTGAAACTTTTTTTCTGTGTTCACAATGTCCTCATGATTGGTTGCTTTAATTGGTTTGCAGCCTGTTGAGAAGGTTGCCAAAGTGATGGAAAGGCCTTTCTACATGAATCCTAAGAAAGCGGTGGACTTTGGTGTTGCTGATAAGGTTCGTTCATTTTCCTACTTTAATGTAATCAAATCTTCAAATGTTCATTACGATCAACAGATGTAAAGGTTACTCCTCTTATCTACATGCTCTGCGTACTGATTTGGACTAGGCTCTTTTCTTCGTCAAAGATTTGTTCGGAGTCATGGTTCCAACGTATTTTTCAGATTGCTAGGTCTTTAAGGGCCTGATTTTTGCCTTTTTGTCTTTTTATTTTTTTGTTGTGTATGTTTTTGAAAGTTTAGCTTTTCTTGTTGCTCATCCCTTGTATCCTGTTGGTATTACAGATATTGTGGCGAGGTCAAGAAGCTATGGCCGAGACGATGAAGGCAGAGGATTGGGACAAGGGTGCAGGTATTCGAGTGGTGGAGCGTCCCGCATCGTATGGAGCTGGAGACACTGGCCTTGGCTAATCCTTCAACATTTCTGCTCGGACAATCAGAAGCTTGTAGATTTTTTTATTATATTATATTTTATTTATTTATTTTTCCCCCTTCCCCTGGGTGCAGAATCAAGCAAGAAGTGTTATTTTTTTGCACACTGTGCAAACCATGCCATGAATTGGCCTTTGCTGAGCCTTTTACAGGTCATCCACCAGATTGGAAGATTTTGTCCACTTGGTATTGCTGTTCCATATCTGTAGCATTTGTTTCGTAATATAGCATTGTTATGCAACTCAATTCTTATTCATTTATTGATTTTTTGATCATAGTACTTCATTCGCATTTGTTGTAAAATCTCTTTAATTTCATGAAATTAGGATTGGTTGTTGCAGAATTTTAATTAAGAAGAAAAACTAATCCAACTTTTTTCACCTTTGTGTAAAAAGACATGCTGTTTTTAAAAATCTTGTACAAAGCCAAAAGCTTTCAAAATGTGTATTATAACATATTTCTAATGCTTTTCATAATCTTTTCTTTGTGCTTAAGTGAATGATTTTAGCTTATTTTATTTCGCATGCATTAACAATTATCCCTCGTTTTTCCAACTGTAACGTTTGATGATGGATAAAGGCAAACATTTACCTATTTTCTGCATCGTTTTCATTAAACTTTCGTTTTACTTGGTCTGTTTATTCATAATGGTACGAGTTTTTCATTACTGTCACATGAGATGGCTTCTAAGCTACCTGGATCACTTAACTGTTAATACCGAAATATCACTTCAACAAATAGAATTTAGTCCTTAATTCTGAATCGAAATATTCGTTATCGATTCTTTCAGAAGTACAATATTTTGACCAACTTTAAAGTATCTGAAAGTCTTGTTGGTTAGAACTAAAAACTAACGATATCAACTTTGTGACATTTTATGACCACAGCTGAGCTATCTTAAGTGTACAAAAGAAACTACCTTTCTAAACATTATTTTATTACCCTTAAAATGGAGTTGGGTAATCCATTACCTGTTTTTCCATCCTGATGTTTTTTTTATGCTCTATCACAGCCTGATAATAATCAAGCGATTTTCTTCCATTCCTTCATGACATGACGGTCTACAATAACTTAATCAAACGATTGCTTGGATACATAGATCCAAAGGAACGTCCACACAAGTGTATAACAACGCAAATTCTCATTTCCTGTAGGTATGTAATCACAGATTGTTAAATCATTAACATGTTTCGCAAGTATCATAATTAAACGGAGCAAGCCGGAAACACAAAAACACCTAAATCCTAAATGAAATTTAGCCTTAGTAACAAAAGCCCACATTCTTGTCATGATACAGAACTTCGGTTTCGAGTTTTCTTAGCTCTGCAGTTTACGTGGACATGAAAATGCACTTACAATTCATGGGGGTGAGTGTCAGAAATCGTCAACAATTATGCGATATCGTTTCGGATTAGACGTCATGTACTGTTTGAAACCATATAAAATGTCAGTAGGTTACTTTTGGAACGGAGTGACGATGTTGAAGTTATTGAAGTACTTAGACCCAGTCGAGTGATGAACGACTGTGAAGTCAGTAACGATACCTTACGAGACGGTCCAATTCTTGCCCTTAAGTTTGGAGAATGAGACTGTAGATGGTTCAGTGATTGCAGACCTCAACCTTTACGAATCGCATGTATGTTGCAAGGAATTGCCATCCTTGCTCTGGAACTCGCTGCCCACGCATTTCCGGAAAACGAAGAGACCGCAGGAATCGACTCGCAACTTTATGGCCATTACCCTGGCGTAGTTAGATCAGCCCCCAAAATGAACTTGACCAATCCAGCTTGTCAGTGCTAGCTTCGTTCAAATAAGCGCCCGTGTCGACAAATGCTATATGCAGGAAGTTTGTAAAGCTAGTTGTCTGAGTTCGGCCGCTCCCTGTAGTGCTTCCATTGCATTCCAACTCATCTGCTTCTGTTGCAGCCATGAATTCAGCTTCGATGGTCAGAAGTGCTATGGTAGATTGTAAAATGGACTTCCAACTTACAGGTCCACCAACCAGCGTGAAGACATACTTGTAGTGGACCTTCTCTTGTCCAAATCTCCAACAAAATCAACATCTACAAAACTTGTGATCTGTCCACCTATCTCATGTTGTGTATCAAACATAATATTAGCATTTACAGTACCCTTTAGGTATGAAAGTATCCATTTCACTGCTTCCCAATGCTCCTTTCCTGGATCTGCAATGTATCTACTCACCACACTGACTCCAAAAGAGATATGTGGCCCAGTGCATACTATTGCATGCATAAGGCTGCCTACTGCATTTGTATATGAAATCACGGAAATGTACTTCTCGTGCTCAGTCTTGGGCCACTGTGCTAAAGACTATCTGAAATGAGAAGCTAAAGGAGTATTTCTTATCTTTGCATTCTCCATACCAAAACTCATCAGTACTTTCTCAATGTGTTTTTTTTGTGATACCCACAATCTGCACATTTTCAAGTCTCTATGAATATCAATACCTAGTATCTTATCAAGAGGTCCTGAGTCCTTCATTTCAAACTCCTTACTTAGCTGACCCTTCAGCCTATAAATATCAGATTTCCTTTGATGTGTAATCAGTATGATACCTACACATAGCAACAAGATAATACAACTGTATGGAGTGACCTTCTCAACTCATTTGAAACACACAATATGCAAACTCACTCTTGATGAAGCCATGATTGATCATAAAATCATCAAAATACTTATATCATTGTCTAATATTCTATTTTAGTCCATTTAATAACTACTTCAATCTACACATGTAATTCTCCTTCCTAGGGACTTTACCTTGGCTCATGTATATTTTTTCTCTAGTTCTTCATATAGAATTGCAATAGTCAAATCTAACTACTCTAATAATTGTGGATATTGGAAGAAAGAAATAGTGTATGAAGATTGTGTTGGAATAGCTTGTCATCCCATTAGAGAGTATGGTGTGAATTGATATGATTATATACAATCTATTATATTAACTTAAAACAAAGGTTATAAGATTTTAAGTTATTTACTTCTAAAATATATGGTGAAAAGAAGTCTAAATATAATATTTTGCAATAAAAAAATAAACATATAATTATATAAGTTACATATTTAATTATCATACTATGAACAAGTATAAATTAAAAATAGTAAAATCTTTAATACCATCAAATCTATACACTTTTAAAGCAATTCAAATACATATTTAAAATTAACAACTCTTAAATATAGCCATTGGTTTATTCCAATTTCTTAAAAATTCTTCTATAATAAAAGTAAACAAATCCAAAGCCTAATTCAAAATTATTATTTATTGCAAATTAAAAACTTATAGAAAAAATTATTTATATTATTGGAATTATAAATTTTAATAAGAAAAAAGAGGAGTAAATCAAGTTGTTATTAAAATAAATTAAGGAGATTAAAAATTGAGCACATATGTATAACTCTAAATCCTAAATCTTAAACTATGGTAAAAACTAAAAGATAAAAAATAAATTTATATTTAAATAATTATTTTATCTCTTCAATGATGTATAAAACATGTGATTTTAAATTAATATGAATTAGTTATGAAGGTTAAAAAGTAAGAAATAAAATATAAAAATTTAAGTAAATAGATTTTACCTTAAAAATAACTTATTTAAAAAATCTAAGATTTTAGCCTCATTGAATCTGAGAAAGTGATATATAAGATATATTAGAGAAGCCATGAGGCTTTAATCATATCTTTTTACATATATTGAAGGTATTACAATCCATAAATGTATTACAAACATACATATTTATATTAGTAATTATTTATTTTAGAGGAGTTAGATAGAAATAAATAGAAGCAATGAATTCATAACATCTTATAGATAAGCTTTTTAGAAGCTTTGTAAATACGGATCTAAATTTCTAAGTATTGGTAGGTAATTGATAAGTTAAAATTTTACCAACAAGTTGGCTACATGTCACATATGTTGGTCATTTGTTGTATAAGTTGGCTACATAGTGTATATATTGGAAACTTTCTTTGCAAATTAGATATGTATTGTATGGCATATAAAATGTTGCTATATAATTCTCTAATTAGATATTATATATAGAAGCAAGAATGAGTCTTTTTTGACTTTTGTTGATGTTTTTTTTGTTCTTGGATTTTTTTCAAGAATATTTAAACTTCTTATATTTAATAATAGCTATTCAAGTTTCTATCTTTTATATATCTTTGATTTGTCTACCTTTCTTCTTTAAATGTCATAAGAATATATTGTTGCTATAGGATTTTGTTATAATTCATATTTTTGATAATTTGACAAAGATACTAATTTATTATTTTTGTTTTAGAAATAATTGGATTACTCGAATTTTTTTATTATGATTTTAAAGTTGTGAACTATCCACCTTTAAAAAATATATATTTTTTATTTTTTAATATTAATTATTTCTTCAAAAAGAGTTGACTATCCTTCTTTATAGAAATTTCTATTTGATATTAGAGATTATAAATTATCCTCCTCTAATTTGATTTGTAATTTTTTTAAAATTATTTATTATAGAGATAGAAGAAAAAAGTATGGATGTTATATTTAGTCAAAGTGATAATAGATTTATAACTATTATAGATCTTTATGAACTTCTTAATATTCCGAAGGTGAAAGTTTTATGAATTATTAGTGTCAACTATAGAAGTATTTTTTCTATGCCTATGGAAGAAGTCAAAAATGAGATCCAATATCTATGCCAAAAAGTTGTGTAATTGAAAGATGTAAATAAATCAACCTTACAAGTAAATTTAAAAAGTCTAGCTATTACAAGTATGAAAAGAAAAAAGAAAAAAGAAAAAAAAGATTAGTATGCCAAAGAAGTTTCTTGGAACAAGATTAAAATTTTGAGGATTTTTATAAGAAATTAAGATTTAATTAAAATAACATCCTTTCTAATATCTTAATAGATTTATTTATATTATATTTTTAGACATACTTCTATTTGAAAGTATTATTTTTTTAATTGCATCTTTGAAGATAAGATTCATAATTCTTATATAATCTACACTCATTCTTAGAAGTATTTATGACCACATTTAGAAAAAATAATTGAAATATAGTAATAGAAACAAAATTCTTTTGTTTACAATAAACATCACAATTAATTACCATTTACGTTATCAAATTCTAAAACATTATTTGTAATGTGGATTGAAGTAATAAAATATTTATTAATCAATTTTAATATGGATTAAAAGATAATATTAAAAATTTATTATAAATAATGTTATTCTTTTTTATTAGGGCAATTTATTACTTAAGCCATTATATA